CTATCAAATTTCCGAAAAATCTATATTATATCTAGTCGGTTGGATCAATTTTCTGCAGGATATTTGGAAAAAGTATACAAAACAACATTAGCATAATAATAAATGCTTCAAATCATATTTTTGTTAAGAATATAAATAATTAACGTCAAGTAACTTTTGGGTGTATCTTTTCCTCTTCAATCTTCCCACAATGCAATGCAGCCTACAGGCAGATTATACCACAGCTTTAGACTGATTGCTCGACTTGTCTAAAATGGCGCCTCTAGATAAATTTGAGTTTAAAGTTTATATTCTTGAAAGTTTATACTTTTCTACCATTAGATTTTAATTAGAATAATTTAAGGATCAAACAAAATCTGAAACCCTTCATAATCTTAAAATATTTAGTCCAGAACAAAACTTATACTAAAATTCTAGCTTTGGTTTTGATATATTTATATTTTTGTGTCTTGAGGAATACACTCATCTCCTAACTGTTTTATAAAATTCATTCAATGTATCGTACTACACATTAAGGTTCCAGTGCAATATAGTCAATTCTGACGCCAAAGTTAGTAAGGTAGCTTTGTAAAAAGGAAAACATTAAAACAAATTATTTACAACCATTTACACACGTCAACACTTTTAGAGTTAATGTACACTTACTCCTTTGGTGAATAAAGTCTTATTTACTCCTTACATTTATATAATTTAATTTTGAACAGGGTAATTTAAAAAAAAAAAACTTAGTTTTGTAGACGTTCAAAACTATTGCGTCACAGTTTGTGGTTTATTAAAGAGGAAAATCCCATTTTACAACATTTGTGTTGTCAATAAAATTCAGTAATTAAATATTTAAACTAAAGGTTTTTAAAAAGGTAGCAAACTATTTGTAATCTTTTCTTCGCCCATTATTTTTACATATATTTGGTAGAATTGTGTGATTTTTTTATCTCCTCTTGTTCATAGCTTAAATAATTTTACTATGACTTGATATAGTATGACTTAAACCACGTTAACTACTCAAAATATCAAGTTAATTAAACCACAAGCGTTAAAACTTAATAAAGACTCTGTCAGGCTATCATCGGTTTTATGAAGCACGACGATTTTTCCAATTGCTGCTGTTAATTTGAACATTTTAATCAAGCTGGTGCAAATCGGTTAGAATTTGACAAGTAAAATATATTTAACTTCGGATTTCATTTCGCTTAGTTGGCAGGAAATATTTTTAGATAGTTAATCGTTATCCTAAATTAGTATCCAACCTCTGCTCTGGTGGGTTTTGCAATTTATCCTTTAATCATATTAGAGATTCTGAATTATTTTAAAAGCTGCAAAATATTGGAGAAATTTGTCCTGATTGTATTAATAGTGGTTGAAAATATATTCTTTAAGGATTCATTTTTAATGTGTATTCCAATGTGAAATTATCATGCATAGGTATTGAATATTGGGAAAACATTTTCATACCTATTTATGAGGTACAAACTGATTAAAAATATATCTTGATTGTTGCTAACTGAAGAGGGGGTCGAGCTGGTTTAGTAGAGCACGGGACTTCAGTCCCTGAGGTCCTGGGTTCAAATTCCACCAAATCACCTATAAATTTTATCTAAGTGATAATGCCGCAACCCCTATTTCTAGTCTGAAGTATTGTGAAAAACTATTTAGAACCCGTGCCTAGTGTCCTAGGATAAAAAAAACATGCACAGCAGTTTTATAAATTCAAAATTGAACATCGCAATGTTTCACTTAATCACTTCCGATAAAAACATGTTAACCAACCATGAAATAACGATCTGTTGATTTCAATTCTCTCGTCCCATTTTTATTTCTGATTGATGACAATATCGGGGTTATTTTAATCATACGCCACTGAAGTGATTATGTTTGATTTTTAATCAACAGTATTGTACATATTAACTGTACTTTTTATTCCAAAATAATATTTTCTTTGAAATATTATTTTGTTGTTAACTACTCAAAACCTTATGATCATTTAATTCAAATATTAAACTTTATTAAAATTTATTTTTTATTGTAATTTTGTGAACGTAGTTCGTGCAAGTAAAATAAATTGTTTATGACCACGGAACATATAGGCTATGCATATTTACATGCTTATTGATAAATTAGGATAATCTCAGTATTTCCTACTACTTCCGAATGAATTTTTTGTCGAAATCTGATCAAACTGCAGCAAACCCGTCAGCTATCCGTCAACAGAAATAAATATCTTACTTTTTACTAAATAAACTATGGTTAGTAAAAGCTTTTTATTATATATATTCTTTTTTTAATTTGTTATCGTATTTGCAAAAGTTTTCTAATCTTACGGTTCGAAGCAACTTGGCTTGGGAAACAATTATTTTTATATAAGCTGCCATCGAAAATACTACTTTGTGTACAGAATATGAAAAAAATGTATACAAGGAACTTTTAAGACTTAGTTAAAAAAAAACTTGTATTAATTAATTTAATAGGTAAAAATCACTATTTATTCCTTTTCAAATAAAAACTTCGAATCCTACTTAGATATCAAGTCATTTAGATTAAAAGCTAATTGTATTCAATTCGTACATTGAATTGAGGCGTCGAGAGGCCAAGGGAGATATGTGACTTTTAAAAAAATGTTGTCATGGTAACGGGTTTTGTTAAAAAAGGGTGGAATTTCAACAAATAATTCACTTATATCCCTTGGCCTCCAAACTAAACACCTAAGAGTTGGAAGCCAAGGGGTATAAGTGAATTTATTTTTATTTTATTTTTTTTTTATGACCATGAAAAAAATACAATGACATTTTTTAAAAAGTCACATATCTCCCTTGGCCTCTCGACGCCTCAATTGATATTTTTTACTAGCAAAAGTAGCTTTTGGCAAAAATTGCAAGTCGTACCTACTCAAGATGCTAAACTAAGTTTTATTAGAAAAGTTGGAACTCCTTCAAAACACTGTTCAATGTTGAACGACATACTGGGTAGTTGGCCTTTGTTGTACTTTGGTAAATCTAATCTGGCCCAAAATAAGGAATTATTCTTATACTAAAACATTATTGATTTAAAGGGACATAACAAAAGGGTGCCAACGAAATTATCACGTGTCCTTTAAAGGGTGTGTAAAATTTGAAGTATTAAAACAGCTGTTTTAGTGTTATACCTCTAGAAGTACCATAGACTAAACATACAGTAGACTTCCCATCCGATGTCAAAATGTAAAACCATAAACGTGGTGCAATCTGTTCAAATGGTCTACAAACTAATTACGAAATTTTGTGTTAAGTGATAAATCAATCAGCTGTTGGCATGGGTTTAATTAATAATAATCATTGACTATTGGATACTGAAGTAGACATCCCATCTATATGGATCAGCTGTCACCATTGTTTTTAAGAACGAAGGTGTGTGAGCCAGATACAGAATGAGCTAGTGTCTAAAATTTTAAACCTTATTTTTTGTTGCTGATCTGGTTGATGAGTCGCAACAGTTGCTATAGCTCACACTAAGTAATTCCATCAGTTTGACTTGGTAAAAAAGGTTTGTGTGTTCCACAGAAATTAGTAATTTATTTCAGCACAATCTGTCGGTAGCTCAAATCGACTACGAAAATGTTGATAAAAAATCTGGCTAGAAATTGAACATAGGGGTGGGATGTCTAGTTTTAATAGTCAAAGATTTAACCCTATACTCTAGTACCCTCTGGTGAGATGGTCTTGAACTTCATTTTCTTAACTTCAAATTTTTACATTGTATGAGAAGTCTACTCTGTGTATAGTAGTACCATTGACTTGTACCAGTTGTACATAGTTGTATCAATAGTCAAAGATACAAATCAAATCAAATCAAATCAAATTATCCTTTATTCATTTAGTATACAATATACATAAATAGCGTCAATACAATAATCGTGATAAAACAAATATCTTAAAACTAATGTACAAGAGTCAGTGGAAAAAATCTTTTACCTTATAACAGCATTTACTACATAAAAACTTAAATAACTGTTTCTTAAACGACTTAAGGGAAGCTGCAGATTTAATAGAATCAGGCAGGTTATTGTAAAACTTAACACCGGAGTAGTGGGGAGAAGATTCTAAAGTTGAGGATTTATGTTTAGGGTATAAAAGGCAGCTTTTGTGTCGGGTATTATAGTTATGATTGTCCGAATTAACAGAAAATTTAGAAATATTTTGTTTCATAAAAATTAATAAATTGTAGATATACAGACTGGGAAAAGTAAGGATATTATTGTTTTTAAATGTATTTTTACAAGAACCCCTAGCTTTGATAGAATAAATTGTTCTAATTATTCTTTTTTGCAATTTAAAAACTTTTTTATTTTTATCGGAATTTCCCCAAAAAATAATTCCGTAATTGAGAATAGGATAAACATAGCCATAGTATACCATCATAAGAGTAGAAATATCAACTGATCTAGAAAGAATGAGAGTTACAAAATATGCTTTATTTAACTTTTTGATGACGTCTGTTATGTGAGTTTTCCAGGTTAATTTATGATCTACTGTTATTCCTAAAAATTTGGTGGAGTTGGCAAGGTTGCAAGATAGAGTGGTGTTTTCGTGAGAAAATTGTTATTAAAATAATTTTTTTTAAAGTTCATTACAAGAGACTTGGATTGATTTAGTAAAAGTCCATTAGCTTGAAACCAACTTTCCAGCTTTTGGAATTCTTGTTTGATAAGCTGTGGAAACATTGATTTCTCTGGATGGGTGAAGATAGCAGAAGTATCGTCAGCAAACATAACCAATTTAGAATTTAAGGTCATGGGCAAGTCATTGACATAAACCAGGAAGAGTAAGGGCCCAAGAATGGACCCTTGAGGTACACCATCTGTGATTAATCTATAATCAGATTTAATTCCCAGTGACTGCAAATTTATACACTGTTTTCTGTTGGATAGAAATGAAACCAACCATTTACTGGTCCTGCCCGATATACCATAAAACTGCAACTTCCGAATCAGTATATCATGGTTTACACAGTCGAACGCTCTTGACAGGTCACAGAAGAGACCAGATACATTCTGCGACCTGTCAAGAGCATCCGCAACCTCAGATACAAAACTAAATATGGCATCTACAGTGCTTTTACCCCTTCTAAACCCATACTGATTCATGTTGAAGAGTTGACATTTATCAAGGTAATCATACAACCTATTAAAAACTATCTTTTCAAAAATTTTTGAGAATGTCGGCAGTAATGAAATGGGCCTATAATTAGTTAGTTCTTTTGGATTGCCTTTTTTTATAACTGGTATCACGTTTGAGAGCTTTAATACATCCGGAAACACACCTGTATAGAGTGAAGTGTTGATTAAATGAGCAAGTGGGATTGAAATAAAAGATGAACATTGTTTTAAGATGAAGGGTGATATTTCATCCCATCCACACGATTTGGAAGGTTTTAATTCGTTAATTATTTGCTGAATTTCTTGAGGATCTGTAGTTTTGAAAGATATTAACATGGAATTAGGTCGGACCCCTTGTTGTAAAAAATTTATTGAGCTTTCAGGATCAGAATTAACATTTAGAAGTTTGCAAGTTTCTGTAAAGAATTTGTTAACATAATTTAACTGATTTTTGATGTTTACGGATTCGGATAAAAATGGAAATTTGTCTATTTTACTGGCGGAAGTATTCGTTTCTGTTTTTACAATTTGCCAAGCAGTTTTAGTCTTGTTGAACGATTGTTTAATTTTATTTTTATTATGTAATATTTTAGCAGTTCTTATACATTTACTGAGCACTTTGCTGTACCTTTTAACATAGTTTTTAAAATGCAGATTTGTGGATTGTTTGCTGAGCTCAAAAAGTTCCCGTTTATGTTTACTAGATCTTTTTATCCCACTTGTAAGCCAACCTTTATCTTTATTCCGGTTAAGACTATTTTTAGCCTTAACTAATGGAAAAGACGCATTAAAATGTAGTTTAAAAATATGTAAAAAACACTTATAAATAGTATTTGCATCAGATGTTACATTTAATTTCTGAAAGAAGTAAGACCAATCCTCCGATTTTAAAGAATTTACAAAATTGGAGATATTAACCTTAGAAAAATGTCTTACGTATTTTGTTTTTTTATTAACCACAGTTTCTGTATGTTTCTTAGTAAAATATTCACAATTCACTTGAAGATATTGAGTTAAGTGATCAGATAAACCATTTTGTACCACAGAAGGCAAACATAAATTAGGTTTAAAATTTGTTATAATATTATCAATACATGTACTAGAAACATTTGAAACCCGAGTGGGTACCTTTATAGTTGTAAAAAGATTGAATGAATTTAATAGTGAAAGAAACTCTTCAGATTGAGAACTATTTTTCAAAATATCAATGTTAAAATCTCCTGTAAGTATAAAAAAGGATTTAGGATTCTTAAGAATAGAATATTGTAAAAGTGAACGCAAGCTAGAAAAAAAAATATCATATGCAATTTTGGTATACACGGTAGGTCTGTAGACACAAAGCACAATTAAATCAAGAGGGTGCGTGATCTGAGCACCACAACACTCAACATAAGAGTCAACCGTAAAGTTTCCAAGATCCGCTCTTAATTTAATATTGTAATTATTATTCACCAATACACAAACCCCACCTCTTTTTTGTTTCTCTCTGCAATATGAACCGGCTAATTGTACCCATCGAATTGAAAAAGTGGAATTTGGCATGTAGACGGAACCCAGTGTTCAGAGAAACAAACAATATCAGGTTTTGTTCTAAAAGAATCTATGTAAAGATTAATTTCATCGATTTTATTGCCCTGGGTTATCCCTTGAATATTGCAATGTAAAATGTTTAGTAATTTAAGTGCTTGTGTGTCAGCAGTGCCCACATAAGAGGAATTGGTCTTAGATTGTAGTCTTATGCTTTCTTTTGCATGACCTTTCTGTTCCTTAAAAAATATTTCATGTTAGTCTGCCTAGTATTTACATCAGTAAAACTGTTATCAATTATAATTTCTTCACTTTCTACAGAAATCAAACTCTTGGGTATTTCAGCTTCTTTTTCATTTGTTGTGTTGAGGTCATTGTGGAGTGAGATGTCAGGAGTTGTAGGTTGTGTGTCTTGACCAGGTGCACTGGACGTCGGAGAAGCAACATCCCGAGTTCCGATCACATCAGTTGGTAGATCCGCCTCTTTGGCCTGTCTAGGTTGTCTCTCGGTGGGATCATCCTTTGAATGTTTAAAATGTTTGAAATTAGTAATTTATTTCAGCACAATCTGTCGGTAGCTCAAATCGACTACGAAAATGTTGATAAAAAATCTGGCTAGAAATTGAACATAGGGGTGGGATGTCTAGTTTTAATAGTCAAAGATTTAACCCTATACTCTAGTACCCTCTGGTGAGATGGTCTTGAACTTCATTTTCTTAACTTCAAATTTTTACATTGTATGAGAAGTCTACTCTGTGTATAGTAGTACCATTGACTTGTACCAGTTGTACATAGTTGTATCAATAGTCAAAGATACAGTAGTACTTAATTACTTTACAAAATTGTGTGACAACACCCGATATTTAAGTTCTTATTTGTTAAAATGTTCATCAATCTTATTTCTCAAGAATAAAAAAAATAAACAGGTAATCCACAAGGCCCTACAGAGAAAACAAACCACCCTTGCGTGAAATCTTAAATTATATCGTCTAGAAGTTGCTGCGATAAAATCACCAGCTTTTTTATTTAACGCTATAAAAACCCCAATCAAGAAGCTTTAAGGTGCCAATCTTTGTTTGATCCAAAAATTAAGATTACCGTGTCAATAAGAGCGGCAAAAATCTGTAATTTACATCAAAGCAGCCAAGACGAATTGCCTCGAAACTAAGTTTGCCTTCAGGCCACATTTTTATTGGAACCCCTTTTCTTCTTTTCTGAGAAATATTAAATACTAAATTATTCCCTTGATCTTGCAGTTTTTTACCCTCCAAGTCCTCTCTTTTATGATTTATATCTTGCTTGCGTTGGTAGTTTTCACCTATGTTTTTTATCCTATATGAATATTTTGTTTCCGAAAAGTGGTATCGTTGTTTCAACTAGTATTTGCCTAAGGTCATGTGCTGTTGTTTTATTTTAGAATAGTAATAACATTATTTACACTGTACTGGTTTATTTAATGCTTTCATTCCATAGTGCAAATCTTCACTATTAATTTAGAGTCGTTGAAAAAGTGTAGGACTTTCCAGAAGAACTCGGAAGTATTAAAAGTTACTTTTACTTTGGAAAAGATATTAATTAGTCTTAAACTCTTAACTTCATAGTCTACAAGATTAACTGTTTCCTGTTTCCCACCGGTTTTCCAAATTCAAAATGCAGAGTTTACTAACTCCGTGTCAAAGAGCCTTTTTACCTAAACCTTTTAGAGTAAAAGTTTCTAATGGAAGTAGATAGCCTAAGCGAGGTAACATTAGCTATCAGATACATCCGACATTTTGACGTGCGTTCCCAACACAAGTTTCATCAAGTTTACTCACGCTGTTCAGATTAACAGTACCAGTTTGGTAAAAATCAAAACCATTGCAAAGTTCTAAGTGTTAAAGAGATATAAATTGCAAAAACTTTTGTTTTTAGGGTCAAAAATGGGAAAAACTTAATTTACCCCATAAACCACCGTTCCTATAGTCCGATTATGCTGGTTTGCGAACTCGTTCGACGAAACGTAGGTTAACACGTTTGTGCCAAATTTCATCAAAATTGGATCTTATTTGCTCGAGTTATCGTGCTAAAGGACACACATATATATATGAATTTAAACTGTTGGGGTTTTTGGCCTCTAGGGACCTCAAAACGACAAAGTAAATTGGTCCCTGATCCAGGTCCATGAGTACTACGGTAATAGCTTATTCCCTATATAGGAAATTCGCTAAGGCTAAATTAAAAAGCATTAATCAATAACAGTATTAGTGGTATTGTGCATTTATTTTGACACCAATAGTGTCCCTATATTGTATTAATTTTCGTAATGCAATCAAACTGTATAATACGTACATGTAGAAAAACTAAACTCTAACTCAATGTGTTGATGGTTACTGTCACTGTTTCAAGTGTGAAATAATAACTACTCCAGTGTATTCACCTCAGAATGGTTCTGTCATGTTTATTTCAGGTCACGTCACCCTTCTGGAACTGATTGGAGTGAAATTTAGGACGACATTTTGTTTTTCTGATATTTTAGAGGATAAAACTTTGGTTTTAAAACCATGTGGAGGTTTAAAAATTTTCGTCACATTACTATATTGAAAGATAAAGTAAAATAAAAATCGTTTTCCAGCTTGGAACTTAAGTTTTATTGTACTCAAAACTCATAAGTGAAATAAAATAGTTACAAGTTATGTATCAAAACCAATTGATGAAATAATGAATTATTCCCATTTATTTCTTTGTACTAAATGTTGTGTTTGAGACATTGTCAAACAAGTTCACAATCTAAGAATTTGAACAACAGATAAGAATGTGATCAATAAAAATAACAAGTTGGGAGCTTGCACCTGGTTTTATGAATCGATAAGAATAATATTTTTAAGTTTCCATGACTTCGGGTCAGGTCTAGAGGGGGTCGCAGCATTATCACTTTAATAAAACCCATTGGTGATTGGTGATTGGGACCTCCAGGATCGAAGCTCTGCTATACCATTACCAAAAGACTAGCTCACTTCCCATCTATGAGATAAATCCAGATTTTTAACCTACATTACAACATTATAGCATTTTAAAAAGTTATACGCTTATTTTAATTTCAATTTATTTACGGAATTTTTCAATTATTTTTCGTACTCTACAGTAAATACCAATGAACTGGAGTGGTTTAAAAGCTTACAACTTAGCTTATATTGTGGTTTTGTAGTGGAAAGTGCGACTGACCACAACAGCCCAATAACATTCTATAACTGTTCCCTAACATGTACCATAACATTTAATATATACCACAGTATACATCGTATTTCTTGTTTTTCCCATATATTCTATAGAAAAATTTAACATTATCGCTTACCAATTCCATCCAAACACTTTCAGAAAATTATTACACCTTATAGCTTAACAGCAATAGGGTTACTCTAGGGGTCAGGTTGGCCAATATATTTAGAAAATCATAGTCTTACTTAAAATCTTAGTAAACTTAATTTCAGACATATTTTAAAGGACAAAAAAAATTGTTTAGTTATAAAAAAAGCAATATTATGTTTTTCTATCAGATTAATTTTATGATTGTCACTGAATTACTTTTTATGTTTAATAATATGTTTTGTTACCATAAGGTAATATATGAACTTACTATGTAATTTATGGTTCTTAAAATGCACAAATCATTAATAGTTTGTATCAAGACCTTAAGTAATTATCAAGAAGTAAATTAAGGAATAACTGCAAAACAAACAATACCAGTACGTTTTCATTTTTATTTTATAAAAAAAGGGCGCTAAAAATTATTATTCCAAAGATGTACGCCTGAATCAGTAAATTGGGACCAATTTAATTAATCCTAGGTAAACTTCTGTAAATTGGTGGGGATTACCTCCAGATCAGGCTGTTACTATAGAGGCTGATTGTTACTTAATCCCTTCACAATTACTTTGAATTAATACTTCTCCCAATTACTGCTCGTTTAGTATTATAATAGAAAAACATAACTTTTTTTTACAAATCATATTGAGGGTCTTACATGCAAAAAGATAGCTAATAAACAGATTTTGTCTAGCAAGGGTCAACATTTCTCCCACAGACTTTTACTTTTTAGTCGAACGTGAGTTTCTTTGACAAAGTTGAAATTTCCTCCAATAAACTATGATAATGACCCACATTTAAGTACTATTATTTTAAGTAATGTGTTTTAACAGTGGAAATTTTTACTATTACAACATCAAAATTAAATTCATGTCGTCATTAAAACATAATTCGTACTTTTTTGGAGATTTTATAAATATTTTAATAAATTTTCTTTGAAAAAGTGTTATTCTCTAGGATAAATATAAGCTACAAGGCCATCTAAAAATAAACAAACCCAATACAAAATAAGGCGTTCAAAATTAAATTCACATGTTTTTGTCAAAAGATAGGCTCAATTACATTTTAGATTTTAAAGTCTTTAAAAGGTCTTCCAGTATCGTATGCTAGTGGTCTTATCCTATGTTGGCTATAGTTATTTGAATGTAAAACAAATTTATATCTTACTATTGTACGTAATTTGATTAGTATTTTTAAGTTTGAATTTTGTTTATATACAGAAACAGGATAGCTTTAAAACTTCTTAAATATCACCACGTAAATATAACACGAATGCGTGTATTTATTATGTGCATATAGAGAGCCCAAAATAAAAAATTATAAAATCCGTCACTGAGAACAAAAACGTCATCCAACTATAAAGAATATTAATTAATTTACGTGAATATAAAAGTAAAATGTTCATAATTCGATAAAATAAACACAAACGAACCAAATAACTGATTATTAAATTATTGAAATCTGTGATACATCGATTGATATTACGGTTAATTAAATCTCCAGCTTTAATCCTTTTACTGTAACTGTTATAGCAGCATGCAAGTTTCCAATCATATTTTCCCCAGTTTTTTACCTCTATTAAAATTACGAGTAAATCAACTTAATCAAGCGAAAATTTAATTATATTGTTTGTTTGGATTTGATTTAAAGTATTTATTAATATTTATAGGATTAGTAACTTATGCTAATTTAATTACTAGATAATAAAGCGGCATAATTAGTTAGTAATACTAATCAAAAGTATTTAAATAGTCAAATAATAGTTGAACCTAAATAATTTCTCAAATATCCACTAACCTTTAACTTTCATGGGTGAAAACAGCGACAGCAACCACAAATCAAACAATAATCTACGAACAACTAAACTTTACTATTGTAATCAACTCAATAATTCAGCACAACAATAAAACATGTCACCACATGTTATCTACACGGAGGTAGAGGGAGAAAGAAAATAATTCAACAATCAGCTGATTTGCGTATAAGCTTACCACTGAGCTATAAGAATATACGAAGCTTACACATGAAATCAAACTTATCAGCTGATTTCATATTAGCAAACAGTTAATTCACTTTGATCCTTTTTTTAAATGACGTTTACATCCTAAACTTTACTTATTTTGAATATTGGCGTAACTCTGAAATAATACAACTTGTAAACCTTTCTGACACCAATAT